CCGGTGAGATTTGAACAGACTGCAGAACTGCAGTCAGCTGAAGTAGCCTGCAGTGCTGCACTCTAACCACTGCGCCACCTCGGTCAAAAATTATGACCATTTTTTCAGACTTATGACCACTGCAGCATCCCCATGGTCCCATCATCAAAATTCAGATGCTTGGCAACTGATTCATATTTATGACGGTTGCAGTGTCCCAGAGTCGTGTGATCTTCAATTTTGTGATCTTCTGACAAACAGTCAATGGGGAAGCAGATTCACTTAACAACCATGTTATTAACTTAACAACTGCAGTGGTTCATTTAGTAAGGCCACACTTGGAATACTGCATCCAGTTATCGGTCGCCACAATATAAAAAAAAGATGTGGAGACTCTGGAAAGAGGGCAGAGAAGAGCAACAAAAATGATTAGGGGAGTGGAGGCCAAAACATATGAAGAATGGTTGCAGGAACTGGGTATGTCTAGTTTAATGAAAAGAAGGATTAGGGAACATGATAGCAGTGTTCCAGTGACTCAGGGGCTGCCACAAAGAAGAGGGAGTCAAACTATTCTCCAAAGCACCTGAGGGCAGGACAAAGATAGGTGGAAATTAATCAAGGAGAAAAGCAACTTAGAACTGAGGAGAAATTTCCTAACAGTTGGAACAATTAATGAGTGGAGCAACTTGCCTCCAGAAATTGTGAATGCTCCAACACTGGAAATTTGTAAGAAGAGATTGGATAACTATTTGTCTGAAGCGGTGTAGGGTTTCCTGCTTAAGCAGGGGGTGGAACTAGAAGACCTCCAAGGTCCCTTCCAACTCTGTTATTCTATATAATTATAGGTTTGTGCAAGTTGGGCACCTCTATACCTCTTATGAATAAACCAACAAATGAATGCAGGGAAGGCAAAGAGAACCAAGGAATACAGGGGAGAAAGTTATAGGTTATCATTTCCAAGCCCCTTATAAGATGAATGCTTATGGGGGCTTTCTTTTTTATTTCCCCCATCTCGTTTTCTAGTTTCTTTGGAGAACAACATAAAAGGAATCTGACATTTTGTGTTAACTGCTTTCTATTCATCCTAATTCCATACATGGCTGTCTGCAGGGGGATGAGAAAAGTGTACATGACAGCCATAGCCATGCTTTCAAAGTCCCATGATTTTATGGGCATCCCGTTATGCGACTTCACTCACACGGCTGTGCCCATCATCTAACTTTCTTTTACATCCCTTGAAACACCTCTGATAATTCCATAATTCCTTCTCCCCAATGCTCTGGGTGACATTCCATACGTTATTTATTTAGTGGCATCTCTACAATGTTCCCTGGGTAGAAATGGTGATGCAAATATTCTCCTAGCAAAAGTGAAGGATGCTCCTTGCATCTGTTTGTCTGAAACGCTGCAGGGTTTTTTGCCTGGATATATCCCTACAGTGTAGATCATTGTCCTAGACGTCTCTCACAAACTGTCAGCATGCAACAAAATCTTTTCTTCTGTATACTTTTGCAAAACAAAAAAGCCCTACCTCTGTATGGCTGCCTGATATACCATTATGCTATTGATTCGAAGATAGTCCTTGATTTATGATCCTAAATGACCCCCAATGATGGTTTTAAATCATGGTAGTCATTTAGCTAGTTATCATACGACCATGCCCAATTTTATAACCTTTTTTGCAGCAGTATTAGTGAACTGCACAGTGAACACTGTGGTCAAGCAGTATTAGGCCAGCCCATTGTTCACTATGGGTTTGTTTTGGTTTTTTTGCTGGTAACTGGAAATAAAAGCTGGTTTTCAGCTAAAATGTTGTAAATTGCAGTCATGTGAAAACAAAAAAAAATGCTGCTTTTCAG